ATTTGCATAAGTTTGCGTCACATGCAGTTACAGACAGCAACTAAATAAACAGCAATTTTCTCAGCATTGATCAAATAAATAGAAATAAATAAATCAGGAGCAAAAGTTGGTCTGAGAGAAAAGCTTTGAACAACCAAAGCTGTCAGCCTGGCTCACCTTGACATTTGGCTTCCTCGTCGAGAACCCTCGGTACCATCCTGAAAGAAAACACAAACAGCAGTGACTAAGACTGATGAACAAACACGGAGATCGTGAAGAGTGAAAAGTGGCCATGACTCAGCAGCCGGAGGGACACAGAGATCTTTGTTCAAGAAATTCTGTCTTACAGGAGCTGTTTTAATGGAAATATACAGCTAACTAAAAAATGAAGGTAATGGTAAAACTTGAAATTCCACCATTAACAGTTTATGGTTCTCAGCACTACAGCATAACACACATGGTTTGATACGAACTTATTACATAGTAGTAATATGTAGTTATTGCCCATAACGTGGGTCTATTCGCCCATACACATCCAAACGTTTCACACAAAAACAATAAAAGAGATTGGCCTCCAGTTAATGCACATTTTAAGAAAAGCAAGAATCAAACTTGTAGTTTGATTCTGCAGGTTTAGTATGGATGGAAAATGATCGTGCAAATCTCAAGTCCTCATTCAGTCAAAAGTCAGGTTTGTTATTCAGCTGCCATCTTGGCAGTACCTGTGGGCCATCATCACATAGAGAGCCATAACATTAACTTTACTGTTACTGGGGCATTAACTGCATGGCCAGCATAACCAGTTACAAAATAACTGAGAAATACGTGAAAAACTTTACCACAAAAAAATCCCCCAACCCTCCCGTACCCGATGTTATTCTGTCCGATGGCTTCATTCATGGTTCAGTACAGAGTGTCGGTATGATCATCAAGAGGAAAAGCCATGCAGCACATAGAGAATACAGGTCTACCTGCAGCACATTTAAACCTCTGTAGTACAAACGTAACAACGTGATTGGCTTTTTGGGGGAAAAAATCTTTCCACAGATTTCTGTTCAGAACATTTTGATTTAGTGACAGGTTGCTTTAAAAAGAACAGTAGCCACGGACACAAATGTGCAGACTGAAGGTCTTCAGCTGATGTGTCCACCCGTCAGCTGATGTGTCCACCCGTCAGCTGATGCTTCTGAATGTTCCTGACAGTCAGTCAGAGACTCTGACAGACAGACTGCTGTGAAGGACAGATGTGGTTCACTGCGCTCAGCTGTGTGTGTGTGGATGTGTGTGCTGAGTCTTTGAAAGGACTTTTATGAGAACTTGAAAGTTCTGACAATAAAGTCGAATATCTGCTGAATTTATTATACACACAAAACCTGTTCACACTGAACGAGTTTTACCCCTGAAGGCCTCGAGTCATTCGTGCTAACTGTTGATGTCGTCCATGAACTTAAGCCTGTGTGAATGTGCTCGGATCATAAGTTCTAAAATAAAAATTCCACTGCAAAGTGATGCACCCTATGATAACATCAGAACCATACAGTATCTCTGTCATTTCAGCCTTTTTGTCTGCAAAATGCAAATGCTGGCCGGGCGATTTGGTGCAAAAGGCTTTCGCTGCTGTACTGGATGGAAATCTAATGTGGAGAATCGAGATCCCAAGTACAGGATGAGATCTCATGTACAGAATAGAATAGAATAGAATAGAATAGAATAATCCTTTAATTGTCCCACACGGGGAGATTTGGTACAGGATGAGATCTCATGTGCAGCCCGTTCTCACTCCCGAGGCGTAACAGGGTGACGTTTTGTCACGTCCCGCGGCGTTCCTGAGGAGCACGGAAGGAGACCTTCCGCGTTGTTATGGTACGCGCCGGGTTATGAATGAAATCCAGTGGAATGACGCTCCCGCGGTAATAGACGTTCCAGCCCTGTATTGTAGCCCTAAACCTAACCTTATTCCTGACCTTAACCAGGACTTTAATGACGTTAAATAGCGTGTTTCGAAGCGATTTGAAGGAAAAGAGTGAACATGTGTAGATTGAGTCCGGACGGTTCTCATATTTCCTCATTTTTCCGAGGTGGTCATTTAGGAACGTGGTGGGTAGCCGGAAACGTAATATGTTGCTGATTTGTCACCTAGCGTAAAATGTTACGCTTTGGGACTGAGAACGTGTGCAGGACAGCATTTAATTGTAGGCTCCGCATTATTTAAAAACAACTTTTGTAAAAGGTCTTGATGCACGCTCAATAGTCCAGGTAAGTAAATCCACAAAAGTTGATTCTGTTCATCTGGACGCAGCGTTTTCAGTGGGGGAAACGTTCATGATCAAGTAACTGACCTCCCAGCCATTTACCTTCAGCGGTGCTAGTTTGAGTCATAATGCAAAGTCACCTGGACGAGTGACGAAACGTTTCTCAAACTGAAAATGTTTTGAGGACGTTTTTAAAAACCTTTTTTCAAGTACTTCAATCATGAAATTTTAACACGAGTGTCCTGGGACTGTCTCACTTTTGAAGCCAGCATTATGTGACCATGTTTTTTCTGCACGGGAGGCTGGTGCTCGCTCAGGTGTTTGAAGTAGAGAGTTCGGTCTATATCTGTCCGTCATCTGGTTCAGAGACCGGTTCAACACTTCTTCTCTTACCACTGTATGACCTACAGGACAGTACATGCCCGCGTGCGTGACAGTGATGGACCCCTTTCTTCTTCAGGGCTCAGAGCACACCGCCGTTCTTTCCACATGGACGGACATTCATCAGATGCTTCTGCGGAGCAGAAAGCTGCCATGAAAGTTGACTCGACTTGGAGTAAAATCTTGACAGCTTAAAATTGCTGGTATCCAGGGACTAAATATGTGCGGGAGAAGCACCCAGACATCCTGTTAGTCATTGGGGACATCATTTGTCTCCAGCCAAGTGGAAATAAAAATGATTGTGCCTCTGGCCGTTGGAAATGTGAGGGTTGGGTGGCGACTGTCTGTCAGTGACAGAGTGAACCAAAAGAAGCATTTATTTACATCAAAATGATGCAAATCATTACTTTGACCTTCTTAGACTACCAAATGCACACAGCTAGGAAGGCAATTCCTTGTGCATTTATCAGAGCAGACGTCACCTGAATCGCCAGCATGTCTCCGAGACAAACACTTTCAACAACAGTTCAGAAAATAAAGGAGAAATTTCCTGTAAGACTACGAAATAACAGAACTCATCATGAAACCCTCGCAGTGAAACATCAGCACGCATTGATTAAATACTCAGGGAAATGTTCCAGTGCTGTCCAGCACATCAGACCCTTTAACTTTCATCACATCTCCTTGTAAAATCATGAGATCCATTTCTCTGCAGCTTCCCATCATCTGATCTGAATATGGAGGAGGGCTTAATTGGCTGAGTAATTAATAACCAATCAAGATTCATTTATCACCCTCGTTATGACGGCAGTGTTTACTCCCCAACCTCTCATCTATATGGTAATCAGTCATGGGCTGCGCCAGCACGCCTCGGCCCATTCGTAAGACCTGACGTAGTGTGTGCGTGTGTGTGTGTGTGTGTGTGTGTGTGTGACAGACAGAGAGTAAATTTACCTCATCTGTAGGGGATAAGAAAGAGGTTTGGGTGACAAGGGGAAACATTTGGATGAATTATAGCGGTGGAAACAGCGTCTACAGAGCCGGTGTTTATCTGTGGCACATGGGTGCACACGCAGGTGCATATACAGTAATTTGAAATTACAGCATACTCTGAAGAAGAGCAATCGTCTCGCCTCCTGCATCTAAACAGCTCACAAAGTGGTCATTAGAATAATCATTTTGCACCGTTACCAAAATAATTACCAATAAAATTCCCTGTAAAACACTTTTGTCGAGTTAATGCATGTTCAGTCTGCGCTCATTATCAAAACTGCATTACGCGGTGGATGCAGGTTTCCGTCAAGCTACAAAATCAGTCAAATATGAGTGTTAAATGCTGCTGTAACCCTGTAGAGCACACCTCAAGGTAGTTAATGAAAAAGAAGTTGCTTGTTGATGCAGTAATAGCACCCATGAGGCTGTTTTTCTTTGTAATTTTGACAGGGATCCAATAGAAGTGCGAGCTGCAGCTGAGCCACCAATCCACTCCGTGGGAACACAACCTCCTCAGTTTATACAACACTGGCGCTATCCCACCCAGGAAAAACTCACTGAAAAGAAGCAGAGAAGTGGCTGAAACGTGATGTCTGTTCTGTTAGCCGCTAGATCTGGAGACCTGAAGCTGTTCTGTGATTACGCAGTTCTTTGCACCAATCAGGCTTTTTGAGTTGGAGATCAGAGTCCACAGAGAAATTCAGGTTTCCACAAACCTTCTGTAAATCCATAGGAGAATGGTCTTCCATTGCAATGGATGGTGTCGATTGGTAGGCCCACAAAACCAGGAAGTTGATTTCAGTTCTCTGATAAAAAAGTCCTAATCCCTGATCCATAGTTAATGCACGGTTCTGGAGCCGATGTAGATAAGGTGACTCGCCCAGTACGTACTACCTCTAAATCTTACAGGTGTCTTTCCTGCTAACCCTGATAAAAAGTAACCTTAATAGCCTTGCAGATCAAATCTTATCAGCTCCACCTGTAGTTCTGCTACTAATCGTGGCACTTGTTGATTCTGGGCAGGCTCCAAGGAAAGACCACGGTCAACGTCCACGATTTAGACTTTAATTGCAGTAAATTTTATGAAAGCAATTTAGTACGAGCAAAATCAAGTAGTAAAAAGAGTAAAACTTGAAATTCTGAATCAAATCAAACGACTTGGAGCTTGTTTCATTATTTGTGTGGTTGTGTCTGTGGTCACCCATCACCCTGCCCATCTTTTAATATTTTTGTTATATATGGTTACAGTTACAGTACTCATATTTTTAAAGGTCTTTAAAAAAGTCACTTTTCACCTTTTCTATGAACATTTATGTCTAAAGTCACTCGTTGCTGTGACGGTTGTTCATCTCTACTCCAACCCCACTGTCTTTTCTGTAGCCGGGGACGGTAGTTGCTGTCTGGATCCTTATGTAAGATAATTTATTTTGGACTTTTAAAGGATCCTGTTAGGTGTGGCTGTGTGCAGACAGGAATAGGACCCAAAGTGCAGACTCCGGAGACAGAATTTAAACAAAAAACAGCTTTAATGCTGAACGCAACATGAAAAAACTAGAAAAAACTCAAAATAAACTTACACCGGTG